GGGGGCCCACCCATCCGGGGCCCACCCACCCGGGCGCTAGCGAGTGCAGGACTAGTCGGGAGCGGAACCGAGGCCGCCGCAGGCCTGAGTGTGGGCCGTGGCCTGGGGTAGTGATGGACTCCAATGGAAGGGCCCGGGGTCGTGCAGGTCCCCACGCCAGGCCCGGCCCGACCGCGCGGGCGTCCCCCAGCACAGGGGTGGCTCGGCCTCGTCAGGCACCGAATGCCTGCCCCTAGCGGACCCTCCTTAAGCCCATTTCCTGACCTGAAAGTTTGCTGAAAAGCAGGAGTGGACAGTCAAAGCTTCAGGGCCACTAGGGAAATCCGAATTGCAGACCAGAGCCTATTTGGGAGGACAGAGTGGCGGGCACTGGGGCCAGCTCGTGTGCACCTGAGGCTGCAGCCACGTGGGAAGGGCCCGGTGCGGTCAGATTTTTACATTTCAAGAGAACCTGGAATTCTGGATATTTCTTTTTATGATAGGGTCGCCTGATTGCAGAGCCTATGCCTTTATGGTGTGTGTGTGTGTTTTAATTGATTTCAGAGAGGGAGAGAGGAATAGAAATACCAATGATGAGAGAATCATTGATCGGTGCCTCCTGCACGCCCCCTACTGGAGATCGAGCCCGCAACCTGAGCATGTGCCCTGACCAGGAATTGAACTGTGACCTTGACTCTCAACCACTGAGCCAAACCTGCCTGGTGGGTGAATTCTGGATTTTTACAAGAAATACCTTGAGTTTTACAACCTTAAAATATTTAAATAAAACTCGTTGACCAGCTAGGTTTACCCCCCCCCCCCCCCCCCCCCCCCCCCCCCCCACGTAGCCCATTGTAAAGACTATTCATTAGAAAGGACGTCATTCATTAGAGATGACATCCATTTCTTTTCTTTTCTTTTTCTTTGTAAAATGAGGAGAGTGGGCTGGGTGCATGTGATTCTAAATACGTACTCAGCTGCCCTAGCAGTGAGGCGGCCACTGCTGGGGAGGTTTAAGCAGAACAGTGATGATAACCTCTGCTCAGTAATTCTACCCTGGAGAGGTAACCAGCTGGCAGCATCCCAGGCCCCTCTCCCACGGCACCTCCTAGCACTTAATGGTACGGCCACCCCCAAAACATCATGCACACCTCCCTGATGGGCTTCCGTTATCACTGTTACAGAAAGCCTTTGTGAGCAACTGGCTCCTGGTATTTGAGCTTCTCCAATGGGGACATGATAGGGCTGAGTAGCGACCTGTGGCCACACGAATGCCTGCTTCCCACAGCAATAAGCTTCTACTTTTGAATCCCGCAGTAGTTGCTTGCTTTGTGTGCCCTGGAAAGATGTGTGCTTTAGCAGAAAATGCCACATTGTACCTGCCACTCAGTGACATCCCAGATTCCGGGGACCCCAAATTGGAAGGCTTATCAGTCGGGGTTCAACCAGAGAAACGGGACCAGCAGGGGATCTGTATTAGGAGACTGAGTGCATCTCTGGGGCCAGTCAAATCCGTAGTGGAGGGCACAGCAGAAGCGATGTACAGGAGGCACTTCCCCCTGGGAGCCTCCGTCTGCTCCAAGGGCCTTTCCACCACCCCAGGCAGCCCCCCCGGATTGTGTAGGATGACCTGTCTTACTAAAGGTCAGCTGACGATGGGCCTCATCATATCTCCAAAACCTTCCTGGCAGCACTTGGGTTCGCATAGGGGGATGCAGGGGACTGGCCCAGCCAGGCTGACACCAGTGACCAGCGCAGAAAGGTCGACTACGGAGACTCACTTTGAGTAACTCCAGGCAGTGACAGAAGCCATCCTGCCCACTTTCCCAAAGCCCCACTGTAGCTAAGAGCCCGACAGCAGCAATAATGAGAACTTTAATTTTATACTCATTTGCTCAGTTGCTTAGATACAAAGCAATTCATTTTGAGCTGTGTGCCATTTATATCTCAATAATGAAAAAGGGCCCGGCTGTGTGCCTAAGTGGTTAAGCATTGACCTATGAACCAGGAGGTCACAGTTCGGATTCCGGTCAGGGCCCATGCCCGGTTGCGGGCATGATTCCCAGTGTGGGGTGTGCAGGAGGCAGCCAGTCAATGATTCTCATCATAGAGGTTTCTATCTCTCCCTCCCTCTCTGAAATCAATGCAAGCATATCTATATATATAAAAGCCTAATATTCAAAGCGTCCCCTTGGGAATTCGACTGGGAGACCAGGAGTTCGATGGCTCGCTATGACATGCACTGACCACCAGGGGGTGTTGCAAAACAAAGGAAGGCCAGGCCAGCAGCCAGAAGGCCCTGATCGCCAGACAGGTCTAGGGACCCTACCCGTGCATGAATTTCATGCTCGGGGCCTCTAGTGTTAAATAATAAAGGAAACCAGGATGAGCATCTTTATGTTAATCTTGGCACACATTTGTGAGTACTGCCTTAGTGGTTATTCTTAGATGTGAAATTACAGAAAGGACAGGAAGTACATAAGGCTTTAAATATGTATCGACAAATTGTGTTCTAGGTTGTTAGAAAACTTTTGAAAGATTACTTCATGATACTGACAACACTTATAAAACATCATTTAAGAAGTAGAAAAGTCGCCCGGTCGGTGTGGCTCAGTGAGTGAGCATTAACCTATGAACCAGGAAGTCATGATTCGATTCCCGGTCAGGGCACATGCATGCCCAGGTTGCAGGCTCCATCCCCAGTAGGGGGCATGTAGGAGGAAGCCAATCAATGATTCTCTCTTATTGATGTTTCTCTCGCTCTCTCTTCCTCTCTGAAATCAATAAAAATATGTTAAAAATGTAGAAAAGTCAATAAAATTATTTCCTAAGGAGCTTACAAGCAAACAACTTAGTATATTTTGAAATGGAAGTAAGTACTCATTTCCTTCCAATATGAGACACCCATTTCTCTACGTATTGATACAACCCAGAATTTGCACCACTTCTGCTCCCTGAGCCTTACATGTGGCTGGGACACTGGCTCTCCCCTGGGCTGTCATCTGCCTTCCAGGCGCTATCAAGTGCCAGCAGCTGTCCCTCGGCCTTATCAGTGACAGGGTCTCTGCAGGAACCGGCCCGTTCACGCTGAGTCAGTGCGCAGGGGCCACCTTCTCCCCCCTGCCCCGTCCACCCACGTGGCCCAGGAGGAGTCTGAGGTCTGATTAAGGCCCGTGTCCCCGCTCTGTCACAGCGCCCTGTACGGCCCGCCAGGCAGTGATGAAGGTTCTTTTGCTGAAGGACGCTAAGGAGGAGGGCGGCCAGGACCCGTACGTCAGGGTAAGTGCCCGAAGCGCCGGCCCCGGAAACAGCGCTCACCCGCGAAGTGGGGGGCCCGGAACTGAGACGCGGCCCACAGCACTGCAATGTGACCCCCACCCTTGCCCTCCTTCAGGCGGCCTGGCCAACCCAGAGCCTGTTCTTTCGTCTGCAGGAGTTAGGATTGCGCGGACTGGAAGCCACTCTGATCCCTGTTTTGTCATTTGAGTTTCTGTCTCTTCCCACTTTCTGGGAGAAGGTAAGGTCTGCCGTGTCTGAGCACCGTGATGGCTACATGCGACGCGTTTGGTTTCTGTAGAGTCCGTGCCGGCCCCAGCCCAGGGCTTTCTTCCTTCCCTCATTTTACTGCCCAACTTCTAAACTGGGCGGCACCCCAC